TCGGACTTTCTGGGGGTGATGAGATCGTTATGATGTCACCTGAGCTCAACACCCGGTTTGGGGTTTTGGGGGTTTTTTTAACTTTTTTGCACCCCCCCCCAAAAAAAAATTTAAAATTTGAGTTTTCTGACCTCATCGGCGTCAACGATCTCCATCACCCGTTCTTTGAAGAACTTGGTGAAGACCTCAGAAGTGATGGCGGCCGCCTTACTAAAGCCCGGAGAAGTGTGGGCGGCCGCCTTACGCATCAAGTTGAGTTCGCCATCTTCTTTGGCTGCCATCGTGTAAGCAACCACGGCGCTGATGTCAACCTAGGGAAAAAGAAAAAAAAAACACAAAAAACCACACAAAAAAAACCAAACCAAACAAAAAAAAGCACTATCAACAATGAGGTCATCGAGGTGGACCTAAAAGAGGTGGGGGAAGGTGGGTGGGACCTTCCAGGACCTTCTCAAAGCCCTCCTTGTTGAGGTAATCGTTCCAACTCTTCATGAAGTCACCGGGGAACTTGTCCTTGCTGAAGACGCCGATGCGTTTCCCGCCTTTGCTGCTCTTCAAAGCTTCGATCATTTTCTCAAAGTTCCCTTTGTTGCTCTCGTTCTGAGGGGGGGGGAAAGGTAAAAAAAAAGGCGGGAAAAATCAACCCCACCCCACAGCATGATGGGATGTTTTCTAGGTCATCAAGGAGGTTAAGCAGGTGGCCTGGCCGCCATCTTAGTTTGAGGGCCTCAGCTCTGGCCCCAACTGCCCCATTCTGGTTTGCACCTCCAACCGCGACTGCTTCATCTCCGCCTTCGTCATCATCCCTGTCCTCATTGTCATCCTCATCTCCGTCATCACTTTTACCTTCATTTCCATCCTCATCCTCACCTCTATCTCCATCGTCATCCTCACTTCTACCGCCATGTCTAGCCCCATCTTTAGGTCCATCCTCATTTTCATTTCCATCCTCACCTTCATCTCCATCCCCATTTTTATTTCCATCTTCGCCTTCATCACCTCCACCTTCATCACCTCCACCTTCATTTCCATGTCCACCCTCATCTTCACCCCCAACCTCGCCTTAATCTTCATCTCCATCCTCATCTTCATCTCCATCACCATCTTCATCTCTATTCCCAGCTCCACCCCCACCCTCATCTTCACGTTTCTCTCCATCCTCATCTTCACCTTCATTTCCATCCCCATCCTCATCTTCATCCCCATCTCCACCTCATCTTCATTTTCACATCTATCCCGATCTTCATCTCCATCCTCATCTTCACGTTTACCTCCACCCTCACCTTCACCTCCACTTCCGTCCTCATCTTCATGTCCATCCTCATCTTCATCTCTATCTCAACCCTCATTTTCATCTCCGTCTTCATCCCCATTTTCATCTCCACGCGATCTTCATCTCTATTCTCATTTCCGCCCTCTCCACCCTCATCTTCATCTCTATCTCCAGCCTCATCTTCACCTCCATCATCATCTTCATCTCCACCTTCCCCTTCATTTTCATCTCCATCACCTTCATCTCCATCTCTACTCTCATCTTCTCCATTCCCACCCTCATCTTCATCCCCATCTCCACCCCTATCCCCACCCTCTTCTTCACCTCCACCATCACCTCCACCTCCAACCTCACTTTCTCCATCCCCATCCTCATCTTCATCCCCATCCTCATCTTCAGCCCCACCCCTCCCGTTACCCACTCACCTTCTCCCGGACGAGGAGGGTGATGGCAGGGACCCCGTTGGCGCTTTCCCCCCCTTTCCCGTGGGCCACCTGCTTGAGGAATTCCACCTTCTTCTTGCTGGCCATGAAGAGGATCTTCTCTTCGCAGAACACCATGATGGTGTCCGTCAGCTC